ATGAAACAGTCAAACTGTTTACCCGGTCACAGAATGAACTGTTGCATGGCTGAACTGGTCAATTATGACGTCATAAATAATTTCCCGTACTTTTCAGCTATAATATTGAGTTATACATAAATTGAAGCATTTTCATGGCATTCAATTTGACATTATTACTGGAAAAGTAATCCGAATACCCATAGAAATATATATTCAATTTCATATCATTTCAAAAAAGAAGGCCAAGAACACCTTTTCTGAGTTGATTTGGGGGAAATGTAGGCCCCTTTCACTCACTATAGATCTTTGCCTTAAACGTCTGACTCAGCGTGTTATATTCAATCCTTCAAGTCATCAGTATTTTGTTTACTAAATAAAACATGTACATGTATACATCAATTTACTAGTGCATGATAATATCATCCCCATTACTTTTTTCTGATTTTACACCAATCGGTGTGAGAATTTGATTAATATTCATCTCGTTTAGTTTGGTTTCAAGAAATAATACAGACTTTTGTTGATGTATTTGAAAATTCTTTGATTATTATGTCTATATCATTACGTTAAGAAATTATATAGTAGGTTAGGTAATAAAACACTTATTTCATGACAACTCAGGAAACAGTCAAACTGTTGTCCCTCGATAATGGGGAAGACCTGGGAAACTGTTGCCCTCGGCCTTCGGCCTTGGGCAACAGTTTCCCAGGTCTTCCCCATTACCTCGGGACAACAGTTTGACTCTTCCCCTTGTAGTCATGAAATAAGTGTATACTGTATACAGGGAAAATTTCGACCCGTTTTATTTTCGCCCCTTTTGTCCTAAACACAAGTGAGCAAATTTAAAAAGGGGCGAAATCAAAAATCACAGTTTAATTTGTTAAAAAGATTTGTGACTGGGCAAATTTAAAATGGGGCAAAATTGTTTGTGAGTATGAAAGGGCGAAAATAACCTTATATACAGTATTAACACTGACAATTACTAGTAATATTAATCACAAAAAAAGGCTGCAAGTTACATTATATCCTCATTTTTAAAAATTATTATAAAATGAATTAAAAAATAAATCAACACATGTAAATAATCAAGTAAAATACAAGGAATGAGACAAGAAAACAAAAATTTGGAAAAATCATAGGATTTTTTTTTTTCATCTTATTTTTGACAGTTTATTTTAATAGATACTTTAAGTTTATAATTTAAAAGATTTTATTACTTAGCTGTAAATGTCATTTTGAAGTCTTATGGGGCTCATGATCACTCTGAGGCCACAAATTAATAGTTAATGACCCTTTATAAAGTGATCTAGATTGAACTATTAAATACTCAGTGAAAAAAAGGTTTAAGATTACTGCCAATATCTCTCAGTTTTGCTAAACAATATCACAGTTTAGCGGAGACTGGTGTGCCTGTTAAAACCAGTCCATCCAAGTGGTCCAAACATTCCTGAATGACTTGAGCAAACTTTTCTGATCTGGCAATTTTACTAGTTCTCCATGTTGTCACCACCATCTCAATGCTGTTAACAACAGAGGAAAATCATCAGTTTGTATATCCTTCTATGTACTTCACCACTTGTCTAAGAGTTTCAAATTACTCAATCAGTTTTCAAGTATAAAGATATGTATATGTTTGAAAAAAGCATGTTTATCCAAAGAATTTGTACACTTTTGTGACTAGAGAGACCTCTTTGAAATTTGCAATGATTAAAATGATTCCTTATAACCATAAAAATTGTAAACCTGATATTAAATACTTTCATTTAGGATGCTGTATTAAAAAAAATAAGACTTTAATTCTACTTCCAACCTGAGTGATACTCACTAGTTTTGTTCCATGTGATAGAAACAACCATATCCGTCATTGGTCATTGCACCTACTCCCCCAAACACTGAAGTGTACCCTACAAAACTAGTGGATAGCTCAAAGTTTCCTCCCCCACCACTGAAAAAAAAACATGTTAATTTACTGAGAATGGTGCAATTGTAAGGCAGCCTGTATTCATTATATTTATAGTCAATGACCTTCAGCTAATATTTTTTCTATTTTTCTAAACGAAAGAAGAAAAACTTAGGTATAGATCCTATTTACATTTAGGTTTCATAAAAGCTTAGTTTAATTTTAATCTCAAGTATGTCCTACTTTGGGTCTGACTTGCCTTTTTGTGAATGATTTATCTTGGAACAGCAATGGTTTTGGTATACCAAGTTCTTCAGCTATTGTCGCTAAACCAAGCAAATGTCTGTCACATCCTACATATAAAAAACATGTAAAAACCATCAAGTATACATTCTTTGTTTTTCAAAATAATAAGAGTTATGGCCATGTACATTATGAAAACCAACAAATAGAAATTGTATATATCTGAGAAAACTCTTTCACAGTGTATGGACAATAAAATAAATGTTTGATTATTAAAATCTTATTGAAATATATTAGAGCTTGATTGCACAGAGACATTACTTTCTCCTTGTGACAAATTCTATTTTCAGTGATAGATATACCTTTCAATTCCTTTGCTTCGTCCATTAATTTATTATGTTTTTTTGCTGCTTTCATATATGCAAACTTCTGCTCTTGAACCTAAAACAATAAAATATGTAATCTAATAATAATGTGATTAAATATTTAAATAAACAATTCTAATTCATTATAATGTCTGGGTTGACCTTTTATAGAATCTCATTTTTTATCCTTATATAAATCTTGAAAATACTGTTCCTGTACCTTTGGGTTTGATTACCTGCGTTTTGTCAATAAGCAATGCCTTTTCAGACAACAATTCTACAGCAGTATTACCATATAGTATATTGTGGAATCTAGGGAACAGTTCTCTCAGATTTTGTGGATTACCCACGAATTTACATCCCCATGAATCATCCCATACCGAAATAAATTATAACTTAGTTATAACTTTTGTAACTAAAAAAAGGTACAAAAAAGTTATAACTAAGTTATCGGAGTTTGGAACCGCCTGTTTTAAGTGAGGTATAAATTAGTTATAACTTAGTTACAAAAAAGTTATAACTTTTGTATAAGTTTTCATTTTTTATTTCAACATAAATACAGCAAGTGCAAAAAGTTACAAAAAAGTTATAACTACAAAAAGTTATACTTATTAAAAGTTACACAAAAAGTTATAAAAAAGTTACAAAGTTATACTTTAGTTATACCCAAATAAACGGTGGAAAAAGTTACAAAAAAGTTATACCCGGAAAAAGTTATTTAAAAAGTTATAAAAAAGTTATACTTAATAAAAAGTTATGAAAAAGTTATAACTAAAAAAAGTTATACCCATGAAAAGTTATAACTTTAAAGATTATGAAAAAGTTACAGAAAAGTTATAACTATGAAAAAGTTATGAAAAAGTTACAGAAAAGTTATACCTAAAAAAAAGTTATAACTACAGAAAGTTATACCTAATAAAAGTTATACCTAATAAAAGTTACAATAAAATTATACACTTCATGTTAACCTGTGGTGGAATTACTCAATTATAGGCTTTAAAAAAGCTACTCATTAAAATTTTTACAAAAAGATTATTAAAATTTTTACAAAAAAGATTATTTAAAAAAAATTAAAAGCACTTACAATTTTATTTTATAAACATGATTAAGAGAGCTTGGTTCATTGTCAAATACAATTGAATGAATGCACATTCATGTTTTCAAGTCTACCTTATTTTTCATCAAGCCATCATAACAGATTGAATTTTCTCAGAATGGTTGTTTTCTTAAAATACATTTTTTTAGCATATAGTCATAAGAGTTTTTGTAAAATTACCTAGTAAACTGCATTCTATTCTTGTGAACTTTTATAAATAGGCATCACTGCCTAGATTTTAACTCTCTAGTTTTTCATGTTAGCGCCATGATCTAGCTGTACTTCAAAAAAAAGAAGAAGGTTCTAAGCAGTGATTTCGGTCACAGTTCTTAGCTGCATACCACCCAAGTCCTTGCACAGGTATCCTTGTGGATGTACAGTTGTGATTTTTATCTGGATTATTTAAAGACGGGCTGCACCAGTAGTTGGCCGACAGGGTTCTCATTAACGCAAGAATCTGCGTCCTAGACGCAGCAAAATTACTTGGGACGCAAGGTTCTTAAAAACGATGCGTCCGCGGACTCATGATCGAACGCGTCCTCAATAGCGAGAAAATTCGTGTGATTTTGAAAACGGGGAATTTAGATGTTAGGATTTGTCAAAGAAATATTTAATCAAAACCTTCCAGTAATTATCATAAAGTTTATCAAAAAAAAAAAAAAAAAAACAACTTTTCTTGTACTTATTTCTCTTTTTTTTTTAAACAGGGATTGATCATAAGATATTTCATGTTTATTAGTCCATAGTCATAATAGTGTCGCATGCCAAACTTAGACAGCTGTAAACACACTGCAGCTTTTTTTAAAAAAAAAAAAGTTTTGAATCTTGAGTGTTATCTACATGTAGAAACCATAATTACTGCTTGTATACACAATGCGGCTTAATTATCTCGTGAATTTCACCCAGTACAGACGATCGACCGGATTAGTTACGCCTCATTGCACATGACACCTGTGATTGTATACAGTCAACTTTTGGGTACTAGTTGATTATGCAACAGTTAATTTTAGCTTTATAAACACCAAGTTAATTTTTATGGCAATTGATTACACGTGTATTTTAGAATATGGCTTGAATGCATTACCAGTTTATTTACTTGAATATGTTGATATTGCGTAAACAAACTGATAAAATGATAAAGATTTTTATTGCTGTTTGGATAGAAGGATACTGCAATAATTTAGTTGGGACTCAACATAATTTTTCTGGGATGCATCAAATTTAGCTGGGACGCAACCTTCTCAGAAATCTTGAGTCCTGGGACTCAAGTTAGCAAAATCCTAGTGAGAACCCTGGCCGAGTTGGTCGAGGGACTTGGCCGTCCGGCCAGCGGTCTGCGCCCCTTGACAGGTTGTACTGGTAGTAGGCTGAAGTGGTCATGGGACTTGGCCGGCCAGCAGTATATCCCCCTCGACAGGCTGCACTGGTATTTGGCCGAGCTGGTCGAGGGACTTGGCCGGCCGGCAGACGGTCTGCGCCCCTCAATGACCTGCACTGGTAGTCGTCCGAGTCTTCATTTGAAATATGCTTGCAATTTCAACCTTCTCTTCATTTTTCTTCAATTCTGCAAAAATTAAAAAGGTTTAAACTTTAAATATTTTAATTTTTTCTTTTAAAAAAAAGTTGAAGTGTTCCTGCACTCAAAGCATATCAGATTGGAACCACTCTTTAATATCAATTCATTCAAATTCAAGGCATATGCATCTATAACTTGGAAAACAAGAATTAGAGTTCTGTTGTGTAATTGAGAAAATTCAACCTCAAGGCTCATCACATAAACATGCATTAAAAAAAATTTAAACATAAAGAACAATATAGAACCTGACAGCTTTATAGGAATTAGCTTTAGATTTATCGAATTTGAAATAAAAATAAGATTTGATTATTTACTTACCTAAAACAGGTGATATTTTTGAAGGATTTCACTCCAGCTTGGCACAGACATGAGATGCTCATGGAAAGAAATAATGTACCAGTATACTGCTGAAATTAAATAAAAATTAGAAATTTTATTTTACTCATTTTAGTACACTATATCATGTTATGATCATGTGGTGTTTAAAGGCTACAATATGTACAATATTAAAACAGTTCAGAGAATCTGTTAAACAATTACACAATATAGGTCATTTAATAATTAAACTGATCTATAGGAATATTTAAAGAATTAAATATGACAAAGAATAACATTTTTTGTTCCTATACTAAATGCTGAAAAAATATTATGTTTCAATTTCTTCACTTCAGTCTTTGTCATTGACATACCAATCAAAACAAACAAGAAATCTGAGATTCACATGCCTAGAATTTTGTTCATTCTACATATTTCTTCTTTTTTGAATGCCCATCTAGAGGTAATAAACATTTCCTACCAAAAAAATCAAAATATTAACATAAATATTGCCTTACCGAATGATTTTGTCATCGTTTTTCTTTCAACACTTTCAACACACCAACATTCAAATCGTCCATGAAAAAATCCGCGCTCTGATGTTGACCAATCAGAGACTTAGAATAAGTCACGTGATTGAAAATAAATAAATAAATAATTCATAATTAATTTATTTTAAATCCAAATAAACATAATTGTGTATTTTGAAACTTATCTTAAATATTAAAAAGCCAGTTGGTGTTAAAATTTTGAAACAGAGTTCCAACAAAACGGACAAAACGGACGTCGGGGCCGCCATATTTGTGTCGTTGCCGCCATTTTGAATTTAATATTTTATTTATTTATGAAAATAACTAGCAAAACTGGGATATTAAATCAGGCAAATAATAAAATCCACATGTCCTAGTCTTCTGCTAAAATCTTAATATAACTGGCAGTCTTTATTCCCAACATCGTAATATCTGTTAATAAATGAACATACACACACTGTATGTTGTTGTTTATCTTTCTAGCCACCCTTATTACGATTGATTTACTTTAGATTTCAAACAACCCTTGTAAAATTGTACCATTGCGTAATACACAAGCTGAAATTTACGAAGTGTAGGCCAAAAAGGTCATCTAGTACAAACACCTGTGTCACGAGAAAACAATGGGGAAATTAACACTGTTTTGCACACGAAGAAAAATCTGTGCAAAATATTAAATGATTTCATGAGATTATAACATTTGACCACTGTTTATATCTCTTGAACATTTATATTTCTCCAGAATTAGGGAAATTATTCCACCTTAAGATGTACATGCATATAATTTACAAAACATGAAATCTATATAATACGTATTTTCTGAGAGAGAGAGAGAGAGAGAGAGATTATTCCCAACTTTAGATGAAACTAGTACTTACAAGACAAATATTAATTAAACAACAATATTTATTAATGAGAGAGAGAGAGATTTAGAGAGAGATTTATTCCCAACTTCAGATGTAATTTACTACAAGTCTCAACTTCACATCTCTTCTGTTGAACTTAACAGTGGATGTGGCTGTGGACTGTAATGGATGAGAAAAACATTGGTAGTAAAGATGTCTAAGAAGCCCCCCTTTTTCTTAAAAAAAAAAAAATCTCAACTCACAACAAAACAGAAAAATAAATGTCTGCATAAGTAATAGCAGTATATAATGCAATTCATTATATGAATAATTTTTAGATAAAGAAAATTCTGCATATAAACAGTGGTACCTTTATGTAGCCCTTAATCATACCCACCTTTTTATTCATATCCTCTGTAGATATTACAGGTATGTAAAACTGTATTACTATACTAATATAATTATGCTTATTTATTATTTTATATGATTAAATTTCAACAGTTATATAAAAAAAAATTAATTTAGGTGTATGGTTAAAAAAAAAAAAAAAAAAAAAACCAAAATATTCAGTTTAACTAAGTAGCCATTCTGCAAAATGACTAAGTCCAAATTAGGTACAAAAAAGTTACACAGAAAAATGACAAAGTCCTGAAAAGTTATGTTTTAGTTACATCTGAAAATGGCTAAGTCCAAAAAGGTACAAAAAAGTTATACAGTAAAATGACAAAGTCCAGAAAAGTTATCTTTTAGTTACACCAGAAAATGGCTAAGTTCAAAAAGGTACAAAAAAGTTATACAGTAAAATGACAAAGTCCAGAAAAGTTATATTTTAGTTACATCTAAAAATGGCTAAGTCCATTTTAGGTACAGAAAAGTTATAACTAAAATGTAACTTTTTCTTGAGGTACAAAAAAGTTACAGAAAAGTTATAACTTAGTTATAACTTATTTCGGTATGGGATGACTTTGTCAACATATTGTTCTGTACATATGTGTTACCAACAAAATTATGTCTCCATTAACCTGTAAAATGTTTATTACCTACAAACATTGAAAGTCCCATGAATTAAAATGCTTGAATCCATGTACAAATCTAAAACTGAAGCTCACACATTTGTATGTAGCATCAAAGAAGAAAGCTGCATTGCATGACCACATTTTGTTATTGATCGAAGCCTAATCGGCACACTTCTGTTAGTTACCGAAGTTGTCTGCAAACTTCTCAATCTGTTAGGAATTAAAACTTACTGAAGCATTGGGACTACACATTGCTTTACAGAACTCTACTGCCTCCACAGTACACGATCTTAAGGTTTCTGTCCGACTGTGGTAGAATCTTCTTGTCATTGCAGTCTCATATACAGGAGCTGGTCTACAATATGGAATAAAATTGTCTCTATATTAACATTTGAATAATAATTTTTTTATTGTGTCATTTACATACCATTTCATTGGTTACCTTGTGTATATTTCACAAAAATAAGTCAAATTTACAAATTGCTACCTTGTATTTCAAGTAAAAATCTTTATATTTTTGTGATGCCTGCAAAGCAATGGGACACTTAGGAATTACTTTACCCAGATTAGCATAATATTTTGATACCATGAAATACTGAACCCTGGTTCAATATAGCACATAGTATTTTGAACCCAGGTTCACTTTTTCACTGCTATATAATGAACCCCTATAAATATTGAACCCAGTGGGTTCATAATATTATGGTTATATGGGGGCTTTACAATTCATCTTCTACAGTTAAGAGAGGTTCAAGATATTATGACCATAAAATATTGATACCCCCTATCTTTTTTTTAATTAAGAGGGAGGGGTTCAAGATATTATGACCATAAAATATTGATCCTCCTATATTTTTTAAATTAAGAGGGTTTAATATGTTGCAGTCTTAAATAACCTTGACTTCCATCAGACATAATATTTTGAACCCCTTCTCTTTATTACTGAAGGGTTATGATTGTTCAACATTTCACTACCAAAATCCCCCCCCCCCCACTATATATATAACTGTCTTACTTGTTGTGGGTTTTGTAGTAAGCATACTGCAGAGCCAGTTGTACGTGCGTGTCAGGGTGATGTTTGTACTTCCGTAACTTTTTCTTGCCGTATTGTTTATATTTAAATGATGTACAGGATAGGTTACTTGCCTAAAAAAAAGAAACCTGAAATTTAGATCACACTGTCAGCTAGGAAAACTAAAAAGTTAATTGATGCAGAATTTGTCACTCTCATATCAAAACTTCGCTGTCTATTTTAGCACTTGGGAAAAATTCTAATCAGTTGCAAAAATAAATAGTGGCGGGTGAATTTCCAACTGACGATTAAAAGTTGTTTGAATAATAGTATGTTTACAGTGCTCTACAGACAAGAAAAAATTTACAACACAAAACTATTTTCTTTACTAGTGCTAATTGTAACGGGAACCGTTACAGATGTTCCCCAAACGGCTACCCAATCCCTTATGATGCTCCATTCCCTACAAGCTTAAATAAATTAGACAATACTTTAGTAATATAGATGGACACTTTATTTTTAAGGGTATTTCATTGGAAACTACTCCAATATAGCCATATGGGTATTAGCCAATCAAATTTCAGCGCATGTGCTTGCACATGTTTTCTACATTTTTCACATTAATTTTCTTATAGTGTCTCACAATACATACATTTGTGTTAAATATTAAAGGATCTCATTGAAAAATAAAAGAGATGTAACCCTTTAGGTATTAGCCAATCAGAATTCAGCATAAGCGCATGCATGGCCTTGCATTCAATTTTGATAGTATCATAATGTGGGGACTCTATGTGCCTATCCATGTCGTAAATTTCATTCTGTTTTGTTGAAAACCAAGGGAGTTATACACATTTAAAGTTTCAACCAATCAGATTGCAGCACACCTGCATGCGCGTGTTTTCAAGAAATTTCCTATATAACATGTTGTAGCACTTTATAATATATACTTATATTCTAAATTTCAAAGTATTTTGTCAAAAAACAAGGAAATTATTGAGATTTTTGTATCAGCCAATCAGAGAAGAGCGCACGTGCATGCGCGTGAGTTCACGCTAATTTGACCATGTTTTCTTGTCTAGACTACTAATATATCTTTATACTTTGAGTTTCAAAGCAATTC